TTTAAAATATTTGAAGAACACTGTTTTCCTAGTTTGGTGCTATTAAAAAATGTCAAGGAACACCCAAATTCAGAAATGATACATATTTCTGAATTTTACAAAACCAGTAAATTGTCACTGTTTGGTATATAGTTAGCAATGGAATGGTGGTGAGAGTGGAACACACAGCAACACCGTCTCCTTCCAAGATAGGAAAGGGACACTTTATTGTAACACTGCCTTCCTTATGTACACTCGATCACTAACCCTAGAACAGAACACAGCTCATCAGCCAGAGCAAGCAACACCTCTTGCAAGATGCTCCTACTGCAAACAATACAGTTTCTCACAGTACACATGCTGTAAATGTGTGCAGGTGCATCTTTGTTTAAGATTCTTTCCTTTCTGTTTTTCTCCAAGCTTGTGAGAAAGCTCTTGCTTCTCAGGCAGTCCATGGGAAAGCTTTCCTGTTTTCACACAACTTTACCAGGCCTGTGCATCCACAAGTCCCCTCTCTTTACTTAAAAGGAAAAAAAAAGAAAAAAAAAAAGAAAAAAGAGAAGTGTTTGTAATCCCATGCCAGGCCCTCACAAGGGAGAACAAACACAGCTCAAGAGACCTGAGGATACCCCGAGCACCCAAGAAATTTGTGTACCTGTTGCTCGTCCTTACAAGAGGCTGCAGAATACTGTTTTTAATATAATGAAATCTACTACAGCTAATACAATAGTAAACTCTACCATAAAACCAACATCTCTTAACAAAAATATCTTACCATACCTAATACATTAATGAAATCTATCTAAAACAGAATACAACTCATGAATCAATACTGTTTTACTTTGAGCAGCCTGAGAAAACTCAGACTGCTCCTTTCCCTGGCTGTCCAGTATGCCACAGTTAATTACCATAAATCCACTCTTGTTCTTGATATTACTGCTTCTGCTCACCAGACATGCTCACCCCAGATACTTCACTGTCCTCTATTAAATCACAGGAATACTGCTGCTGTTTTTCATAAAATCATAGAATCCTCTAGGCTGGAATAGATCTTGAAGGCCATCAAGTCTGACGCTTATCAATATTCTATATCAATTTTTTTTCCAAAGAACCAAAATAATCACCATAACCCTGAAAACCAGTAACAGCAAAGGGAATAGAAATCTTGTGGATTGGGTTTACCCAGGTTATAAATGGCAAAATGGAAGAACTGGCTCACACTTTGACTCATGCTCATGCTTTATCAAATCCCACTATGGCTAAACCACAGCCAGTGTTTAAACTTTGGAGAGGGACACATGTCAATGCAGTTTTCTAGCACACCTGTTGTGTATTTCCCATCTTCATTTTAAAAACAACTGCACAGGAACCTGCTAAACGTGACTGTAATACAACCAACACGGACTGAAGGCAAAGAGATGAATTGGAGAAAATGAAATGGTTTTTAAAGTTTTTACATTACAAAGTATACAGGTGACCTTCAAAAGAAAAGGATACTTCCTCCATTATCTTCTGAATTAATCTGAATCTCAACAAGTATCCAAAAGGCCTTTTTATTGCATGAATGTATAACTCAGGAAGAAAAGTGTGAATTTGTAGCAGCAAGAAATCAGTTGTCTTGCTTGTTACCTAAAAGACTTAATTTCACAGCAAGCCACAGCTGCTTTGCTCTGACTGTATTTAGCGTGGGTTTGAGACTGTTTTAGAGAATTTACTGCTTTTGTACCTGTTTGTCCCTTTTTAACAACTGCAAGATTATGGGATTTAAAAAGAGATAATAATTCAGGAAAGCTGAAGCAAGTTCTCTTTCAAAGACTTTAATAAGGAGCATTACTTTTTTTGAACAAAAGCAGCTTCTCTCTTTCTCCTGGAAGTAACTCACTTCCCCAATTTAGCTTGATTCGTTACTGTTTTTGACTAACACATTAACCATCCTAACCAATTTTTGCTTATTTCCACAGCCTGTTATCAATAGAAGTTTCAAAATTATGAAAATAATACCCTTTCTAGGCAAGTGAAAAGAAGAGAAAGATTTTTAAGATATTTTTTACTCTGCCATCTAAAAGAAAAATGCATCACTATATGTCAATAATACTAAACTCAGACCTGTGCCAGATACTGGATCTACCTTAGAAATAACAGTATGGACTTTATCCTAGGCCTGCTGCTCAGGATACAGCTCTCTCTGACAGCAATTTCCATAGTTTTACTATGGCTGGTATCTGAACTAGTAAAATTAAAACTTGTTTGGGAATGTCTCTGCCAGCTGCAGTTATCTATAGCTGAAGCTCAGCCATACTCTTTTTAACTGCAAGCTAAGATCTTTCTAGATAAAGCAGAAATTGGGATTTACAGAAATGACAAAGATTGCACTTCATATACCCTGAAATACATATAACAACTCCCACTCTCCCCCCACCCCCCAAAATCCCCAAAATACCCCCACAGGGAAATGGCAATTAAATAAACATTGGAATGGAAACTAAACAGTGAGGCCACAAAGCTGGTCTCTTAACTGTCTCTCAGAAGAAAACTGAGGAATAGATGATTATCTGAATAAACATTTCCAAATCCAATTTCTCTGGCTCATCTCCAATCATCATTTCAGTCTGTAGACCTAGATGAAAATTACAGGCCAGCCAATCAAAATGTAACAGTCATAATGACTTTCAAGAATTTATCTGTCCCTCAGACTGTGGCATAAATCTTCTAGAACTTCTGTCATCACCTGCAGGGTTGCCTTTGACTTGGAACCTATGAAACACCAGTGGTTTTTGAGGCAAATCTTCTTTACCTTGGTACATTTCCTTTATTTTAAGCCTATAAGTCACAGTGATGTTTCTGATAGCTAATCACCCTCTTTTTCTGCATCCCCATTCTCCTGGCTCCACTGCCATACAGCTGTTCTCATGTCTCCCATTCCTCTAGTGCACTGCTGCACTGTCCTTTAGGAAGGATGGCTTGCTTCCCTCCTCTGCTCCTTTCATCAACTTACAGTTGAAATACAATGCAAATTTAATATTCATAGTTTATATTTTACATGTAAATCTTCTGTAGCTGGGTAGGTAACAAATATAGCAATAAAGCAACCAAGGACCAGGACACCTGCAAGAATACCCTGAAAAAAATATTTATTTACTCACCTTCAACCAACCAACCAACCAACCAACCAAAACAAACAAAAATAATGAAACATTTGATTCTCGGAACATGTTTTCAGTAAAAAAAAAATCACATTGGGGTGGATTTCTATGTTGTCACAACCCCTAGCCTCTGAACTTTTACCAAAAGGTGAAACACTGTAAATAAAAATAAGCATTATACACAGATTCTCATCCAAACATTACCTTAAAAAGCTGTTTAAAATATTTAGCTCTCCAGAGTTGCAGCAGCACTTCTGTAAGTTTTTGGGGGGCCTTTGGGGGGCTTGAAAATCCATTACAAATTGTAATTAGCTCTAACATCACCCTCCTCTTTTCAGTCTGTCTGTGTTTTATCTTTTGCTCTTTTCAAAAGAAGCTTCTGCCTTTTACTGTGACAGTAAATTCATAATGGTGTTTTCAAAAATATTATTTCAATGGTCTTGAGAGGAGGAGTTTAGCCAAAGTATGAACCTCTCCATTCATCTATTTATATCTTCTAAAGCCAGGAGCCTACATTGCTGACTGTAAGCCAGCCTTTTGCCTCTGATAATTCCTAGGTATGTTTACAGCCAGATTAAAAACATCTGCTGGCCCAGGCAGATTTATCCACAGTTCATCCAAAGCTCTTAATCAGATTCCATTTCCTCTTGTCCTGGTCCCTTTTACTCTCTTGAAGCTTCAACAATTCATCTCTTCCAAACCTGAAAATAATATCTCATTCTCAGATTCAAAACCTTTAAATCCATTTCTGCAGCAAATATAAAAGCTCTCTGCACCTTCACAGGTCTCAGGTCCACAGATACTTAGTGTTTATTCCCTATGTAGCTCCAATCTACATCAGATGGAAAATTGCTTTCTGTTCTTCTTTGTCTTATGTCAGTGATTAGACAATAATGTCCCAGTCTTTTTGCATCTATTTACCGTGGTTGGAATCTTTTACATCAAGTTATTTTCGCTACCTAACATTCTAAATCCTACCTAAAAATCCATTTCTTCTACAACCGCTTCAGTTTCACAGTCACAAATGTAAGCTGACCATGTTCAAGTTTATTAGTTTTTCTTTTAACTTTCTCATTGCATTCTACTATTCCACAAGTGTCATCACCTACTTTTACTTCCCCCACTAAAAGTAGCATTCTCCAGTGTCAGAGCAAAAAATCTGGTTCATATATGATTTCATTGGTAATGATACCCAACTGCATAAACAGAAAAAGAAAGCTTAACTCTAGGTAATGGAAACCAATATTGCTCTGTAGTAAAGCAAAAAAATGTACAGTTTAATTGGAATTATTGCAACAATTGACATTCTCTTTCACAATTTTAGCACTCAAATGTAGTTGACTATGTAAGAAACTTTCTTTTTTAAAGTTTTGTTTCAGATGCACTTTGACAAAGAGCTCAGACAAATATTGTTTAGACAGAGTGACTCCCACAGCTCAAAGTCAATATCTAACTTTTATGTACTTCAAAAATAGCTTGGAAACATAACTAGAGTGAAGTTAAAAGGCTTAGCAAGCAAAAAAGCAGACTAAAAAGGAAAAATAGTCAGACTTATTTTAGGGTATTTTTAGCTATGCTGATAATTTCAGTTGTGTGACTCATATCCCAGGAAACCTTTGAGATGATAATAGTCAAAGACAGGTACCTTCTGATTCAAGAAACCAGGCACAACACATCTATTCAGTAAAAATCATGAACTGGATGCTCACACATCTGATGTCTACAATATCAGATTCATATAAACTCTGTATCCTAAAATCAGGGAGGCAAGCCCAACCCCTCACCCTACTGCTCTTTTACTTGTCCCCAGGCTACCACAGGAGAAGACATTTATCAGCAACCCTGCTCACAGACCCAGCGGCCCCACCCAGCACTCACCACCGGACGATGCACATCCCAAAATGCTCGCTCCTGACTGTCAAGAATCTTCCTCTCTATCTTGTCTCTCTTCTTGTCAACCCTGCCAATGTCATAGGATATTTAAAAGAAATAGTGTTGAGGACAGTAATTTTAAACAAAAAAATGTGTCCAACCTATTTCTTCCCCCCACCCTTTCAAAAAGCATGCAAAACAAAATCTGCTGGTCTCCAAAGGTACTTACTTTGCTTGTGCTTCAGCTTGCATAAAAATAAATTCCCATTTCCGAGCAAAAGCTCGCTGTAGCCTGGCCAAACTCTCCTGAAAATACATCACAATTTTAGTGGGTTAGGTTGCATGTTATTTACTCTTTAATAGCTTCTGGCTTTATCTTTCCCTCCTCTCCTCCCCTCCCCCTTACCAAGATGTAATACAAGTCATCATATTTGTGTCAGTATAAATGGACCTTACTTATCTGATACAAAGTTTTTTCTTGACACCAAATGACATGGAATACTTTTGAATGTGTCAACTATTTTATTTTTGAAAATCTGATTAAAAGGGTAGATGCATCCCTCAGCAGAACATGAGAATTCTGAAACATTTTTATATACTGTGTGCTATCTTAGCAATTTTGAAATAGTACAAAGAAACATCCTTGTTTTGAAAGTATGTAATAATGAAAGATAACAGCAGTTGTCTCCATACTGGATGATCCACATGACAATTCCTCATCAGCCATCTATGCAAATGGTTTCCACTGAACACTGTTGGCTGCCATTTTTGATAGTATAGCCAAACCTCCACAGCTATCCCTGTTTTCAAAAATGCTGACTATAGTTCTTCAATACTGTAGAGGAAATGCATCTATCCTACAGCCTGTTAATAATAACAGGAAGAACATTTATAAAATCATTGCAAAATTCATTCTTCCATTGATGATGGAACATTTTCACTGTTTCCAACAGAGCTTTTTAAATCTCTTCCCAGCTTAAACAGCAGCAATATGCAGTCTTCTTAACAAAAAATGTGTTGTTTTTACTATATTTCTATGAATTGCAAATGTATCTCTGTGCCATACTCACTGAAAATGAAGACTACAGAAAGAGAAGAGCAGACTTTCTAGAAATCTTGTCAATACCAGAAAAGGCTCTCATGGATTGTGCACTGAAGGGGAGTTTTCTAAGGCATGTGAGTATGAAATTATACATTACCCCACAGTGCAGTGTGCTGAAAAACAAGCTTGTGCCAGAAGAAGCAATACAGCGTGTCAGCATGGTGCTGTGGCTGGAGTACCTGGCGTGTTGAGAGGCCTGGCTGACTATCCTGCTATCAGGTCACAGCAGCACAGCTGGACAGCTTTCAGCACAGACACAGGGCTGTTTGTGAATTTTATGTTGACATGCTTATGAAAAATTCAGGAACTTTTTGGGGGTAGAGTTGGAATTCAAGACATCTCTATCGAATGCCATCCTCATCAGCTAATCCAACTCCCTCTTTTTCAGGCTTTTCCTGGCCCCAATTACCTTACCTTGCCCGAGGCACAGCACAACTGCCTCAGAGTAGGAACGCCTCTAGTCTGACCCTCTTTGCTTCTCATCTAGCTGATGGGAAAATGCTCAAGTGTCAGCTCACTTATAAAGAATGAGATTTACATTTCAACATCTATCAAGGGCTTTTGGAAATGTTGTCAGGGATTCTTTGTTAAAATCTTAAATGGTGTAGAGAACAACTGCTTCCAAAGACTCATGGTGTTATTTGTGATCCTGGCATGGGGATCTGAGCAGAGTAAAATTAGAGATGGGCTGTGATCTCAATATTTGTCCAGTTAACCTTCACTATCATCTCTCAAACACCATTTAAGACTTCTGAGCAGTTAGACCCACAAGCTGGAAGGACTGGATAACTAATAGATTTTCACACATAATGCCCATAGTTCTCATGCTTAACATTATTTCACAGGCTCATTAGGCCCAGCAGAGAAATTTACTTTTTGCCAGGTACTTACAGCTTCATAGTCTGCTAGTTCTAGCCTTGCTTTGTTTTGCATTGTCCGCTTGCAGAGGTAAACAGCTGGAACAGAATAAAATAACATGGAATTTGCTACTATCTCACAAACACAGCAGATCAGAAAAAAAAAGCTTCATGTCTGGTTTAAAGCTAGCTTTTTTTGGTTTGATTTCTCCCTTTGTTCTAGAAAGCTTTAAATATGGGATCAATGCTAGCAGTATTGTAACTGAAATGGTGGATCAGAAAGAGAGGTTCATAAAATAATAATAAAATCTGCTTTATGCAACAGCCATCATGTGCAAAATTCATGAGGTACTTGAGGTCAGGGTTTTTAATGGCCAGGGAACTAGCACATTAAAGAAAAATGGCAAAGACATTTTTCAAACTATGTGTGTATAAATCATAATGGATAAGAATTTTAGCACTAGCTGATGCTGTATTAATCAAACAGATTTTTAAGAACATGAATATATGTTGGTTTTTTTACTCTATATTTAGGAAACAAAAACTTTCAACCTAAGATTTTAGCTAAAAAAAAAATCAGATAAAATTCATATCTCATACAGATTAGTCTGCTTTAATCAATACTTAAATAAGAAAATAATGTGAGACCAAAAAATGAAAAAAAAAAGTGTTATTTTTACATATGAGAAACAAATAATCTTTTATTTATTTTCTAAATCCAAAAAACCTCCAGAAGACCTGTCCTTCCTCCACTTCATTCAGACAAAGTAGAATCTTTGGTAATGAAATGCTGAAGTACATTTTCAATAGACTTTATTTAGTAGCAAATAGTTTCCAAACAACTCTGAATATTTTATAGCTTCTCCCACCACGGAGACAATGAGTGCAGCACAATTCTTAATTTTCCAATATTTACCCATTTCATTACTTCAGAGCACTGCTCAAGTGAGATGGATGAATCTTTTGATCAGTGTAGGTAATAAAACCTTAACTTACCTGTTGTCTCTACAGTCAGCAAAAAGAGCCCGTAGTTACTGGTTGTACTTAGGAATGTTCCTGCTCCCTGACTGCCAACTGGTCTACTACATGAGCAAAGCCTCTCTGGGAAATAACTTCACATAGGAACTTAATTCTTCCTAACTAGGAAGAGGGAGATGCTCATTTTAGATAAAGCTTTGAGTATTAAGGTAGTCAACCTAAATATAATTTAAGATTCCATGGAAATATTTATTCCTGACAAGACACCTGCAAATGCATGCAAACTCACTCCAGTGAATGTTCTTTCAGTTGAATTGATTACAAGCACTTCTACCTGCAATTAAAGATGTTACTTGATGTAAAATGAAGCTATATTTTAATGCTATTTTTGTCTTTTCTTCCCCCCTTCTTTTTGTGTTATTTGGTCTATTTTCTTTCATAATATTTCATTTTCCACTCTCATAAGAAGCCATGGTCTCTTACACTATTCCCTGCCCCCCATATACACTCTGGTTCCAAAGCAGCTTCTGTGTCTACAAAATCTACAAAGACTGATATATATCCATGCCACACGCAGCACACAGATATTTCTATAGCTTTCATGCATTGCAATATTATTATACATTTAGACTAATGCATTGGCATGCATGCTGAAATGTCACAAAAAGGTGAGGGGATGAATTCTGGACCTTTTGTACCTAGGTTGCATTCACAATCAGTACACTGCTAAGAGATTCTTGAGGAGAGAGATGGTCTTTGTCGTTTAGCTTCTTTTACAGTGAAACATTTTCCTCTTCCTTCAAAATTGGTTATTTCATTGAAGAAGAAAAAAAAATCCTAAACCCCTTGTCAATATTAGCAATAAAATACACACTTTATATATGTAGACAGTTCTGAGAATTCCAGGGGTCAAAATTTGTCTACCAATTTAATACCACCTGAACAGAAACAAAAAAGCTCCCTGTTCCTGTACTTGATCAAGACTTTTAAACCACATTCTTATAGTCCCAGTACAGGCACTTTTAGTTAGTTTAGCTCTTCCTTGAGTCCCATTGTGGGCAAGTTTTGGGATTATATTTCTTGCTGCCTCCTACAAAAATTCTTGTTTCAGAGGTAGCTGACTTTCAGGATAGGTTTCCATCAAAAAAGTACCTTCAGGTAACAGAGATTTCAACACTGGAGAAACAACCACCAGGTCACCAGGAGATGAATTAGTTTGACACATTATTAATTTAATACCGTGTCTATACTGTGTAACTCCCAATCCATAGTAAAGAGTCAATATAAAGATGTTTGGTTTCCATTATGAGCATAACTTGGCCAAGACTCAAAAAATCATATTCAGACTTTTTTTTTTAAACTGAAATATCCAGATTCCTTCCCCTTCACAGGAGCCTAATGGTTATAACATGTGTGGCTTGGATTCCTTATCTCAGAAATGTTTCTATGTGCTACTGTGAATAAGGTAGAATATGCCCAAGGAAGAACTACTATTGTGGGAAGTATGGCATATCCACTAGTTTAGAAGAAAACAGTTCTGGAGGACATTCCTACTCTGACTCAATTTACTGCTATTGCTACGTGCTAACAATTGCACCCTTATAAAAGCACAAGTTTGAGCCTCTATTTAAGAGCTAACTGTACTGCCATGAAAAGCTGGCAGCAGCTCAGGAATCTGTGTTCAGCAGTTTACACTCTCTCGATCATATTATTTGACTTACCTGTAAAAAATTCAGTAGCACATTGGAAAGCAAGAATGTGAAAATCACCCTCATTTTCAGGCAGATAATTTGAAGATATAGAGTAATGAGGTTTTGTTCTTCTGACTTTTAGGACAATGAGATTTGAAATGTGGATACTCCCACCTTTCACAGGCACCACCCCTCTTCTGCACCAAATCACACATGCAGTAACTGTACTTGTCCAGTAGCTGGACTTTGAGGATGCCAATCGATTTCCCCCTCAAAGCAGAATCAGGATCTCCCAGAATTTCAGCAAATTACAGTGTCTGCTTTTCCAATCCCATGTGTTGACAGTGTTTTTACAGCTTCAGAAGAAGCCTGAAGGAGGGATCTCCAACTAAAGCTCTCTATTTCTGTACATAGTTCTCTATTTATCTATCCCACAAAGGTTCTGATCAGGGCCCTCAGTACATCAAGGAGCTGTAATTCCACCGAGGAGCCCATCTAGGGGCTCCACTGTAGCCTGTGCTCAGGAATTGTGCTCAAGTCTAGCTACTGCCCCTGGCACAGGCTTGAGCTGTGCTGTAGATGTATCTCAAATCAGCCCTGTAGCCTACCCATGCTGCTGCCTTGCTCCTGCCTGCAGTGTTGCCAACCTCAGTTCTTGCCTACCTTCCCTTGCTTGCCACTCTCTGGCAAGGGTGCTGAAATATGCTCACCATGGGGATGAATGATATGCAAGAGCCAGAGTCTGATTAATAACCTCAATTTGCTAAATATGGACTGCTTTATACACTCTTATTTTTAGAGCCAGTGTATTCTGATGGATTTTGCAATCAACATAATTGCCTCTACTAAAGTGAATTATATATTAGATGCTATAGCTTGTGCTTTAGAAGTGACTGATTACCATGAGAGAACAGATTCACCAATAATTTTAAAGGCCATATTAATTTGTAACATTTCATAATGAAAGATGGTCAGTGATGTTCCTAAATGGGTATTTGAACAACAAAACAGTACTGAAACACATTTCAGTAGCTGTGCAGTAAATACAGTCTACTAGCTCTTGAAAATTCTGTTCAGGCATTCACAAAATGTGGGCAATCTGAGACTTTCAAGTGAGACTACAAAGCCAGAGTTGCATAAAGACGATGCCTATATTTTCCCTCTTGCAAATTTTTAAGCTGTTACACCCCAAAAAAAACCATTTTCATGGTCAGCTACACACGTCTCCTATTCTTGGCTGTTCACTTGCACTTGAAAGCTCCTAAGACACCTCTATAGAGTTTTTCTTTAGATAAGATCATAGAGATTATGACAGGTTTAATTCTAGACTCAAGAAACTGAACTGAGTACACATTACATTATACACACTGACTCAAAAAAACCCACAAAAAGCCAAATCCAGAACTTTCACCCAAACCCCACACTGGGGAGTTTTATCTTTTTGCTAAACAGGGGCTAAATCTTTCCTTTTGCCACAGTGGAGCAAAGGCCACAGCTAAATTCAGTGGAAGTTCAGTGGAGGCCTCTGAAGATCACAGACTATGGCACCTACACACCCACCAGCATGCACACAAACTCCTTCCATAATTGTGCTGGTGCCAGTGGTGTCACAGCTCCGTTCACCCCAGATGGTGAGCATGCTTTCAGTCAATGCTCGTTATCTCCACTGAGGCCAGGTTAAATTTACGTACTCCCTGAGTCAAAATCCTCTTTTCAGATTCAGTGTATATAAGCCTAGTCTGTATCTAAATAGCAAAGAAATTAGCAAGTCTAAGGGTTTCATAGTGCCCTGTGGGCAGAGAATTCTCCCTCTATATGCAAGTGCCTGCTTCAGATGGAGAATTACAGGACAATCAGCACAAAACATGACTGCAGGATGTAAAGCATGAAATTAAATCTTTTATTTTAACATTGTGAATTCTAGGGCTATTTCATACCATCTTTAGGTCAGTTCTGCTCTTAGTCAATAGAATAAAAATTGCCCTTGGCAACAGCTATTGAGTTTCATTTAGTCTTAAAAATGGGTCACTACAGAGCCCTGTATATCTATAAAAGAACCACACTCTTAAGTAAATGCTTATAACATTAAGTCAGAGGGAAGACCATGATCAGGTTTATGTACATTAAACTGCAAAATCATCAAAACCTTAACTTCTCCCCTTCTCTGCTCTTTACTCTTTGATCCTATTATTTCCTGTAGCACTTCAGGAAAGCAATTTGATTATAGATTTACAAAAGCAGAGGACTTTCTTACATAAACAAAGGGCAAGAAATAAACCAAATTTCAAACTACCAAAGAGATCAAGAATTAGAAAAAAGGCAAATTCATCTTCAACATACAGAAGTCCCCAGATGATGATGGCCTTGGAAAATCCTTCAGGGTGACAAAACGGCTATGGGAGAATGGTCACCCAAGCTCCATGAAGCATA